CAGCAACCTGAGTCAACAGTAAAACTGCAAAATAATAAGTAAAAATATAAGCATGTTATGTATAGATATAAACCTGTATAATATCTAAGATACATAAGGAGAAAGATATGAGAAGCATTACTCAGGGAATAAGTGGGAAGGAAATACTTTCGAGTTTTTATCTCTGAAGTTATGACTAATTTTATAATTTTTTAAAAATCCTATAAAATTCTATAATTTTAAAATGTAAATATGGAAGGAAAATGTGAAATAAATTTTAAAAAGTATACTTGATTAAACAAAATACTGTTGATGAAAGCAATTTTTTCCCTAAGATATACAGTAGACAACGAATGGCAACAAACTTTTAATATCTATTAGACAATACTTATTAAAGGACATAATCCTGAATATTATTTTTTATCTTACTATGACAAGTTTGGAAGCAGGAGTGGCATCCACTTTCTAAATATATGCCTTCAGAAACTGTATGAACTTTGATAAATGTTGATAGTTGTAGAGGAGCTTCGGGCCTTTGGTTCATAGGGTCCCTATGAGTCATGCTCAACTTGAAGGCAATCAACAACAACAAAATTATTATTAAAGCCATTTAACTTTATCTCAAAATCTTAAGTTAATTTCCTTTCATTTATTTCTAAGGCCTCCTCACTCTTGCCAAGGTCTACATTTAATCTATAGCATCATTATAACATAAAGAGCTAAGTTCTTAAAATAATGAAACTTTCATTCATTGTAAGTCCAGTATATTTAGAACATGAATTACTTATAATAAAAGAAATCTAGTAAATACTAAAATGACCTCATATAAAGTGCTTTTTCTGGAATACATTTTTTTAATTTTTTAAATTGACATTTTATTAAAAGTTTACAGAAAACTTGGATTTCCATTCATTCATTTTTGCACATTTTTCTCCCTTCCCCTCCTCCAGTTCACTTTTCTCTTTAAAAAGATTTTTTCATGTTGCACAATTTCTTCCCTCCCCTTGTCCCCCAGTCCACTTTGCTATGCATCACTTATTCTGGAAACTGCTGTCATGCAAATAATACCTAATCATTTATTTCTTTTAGACAATTCTTTCCCTCATCTATTTAAATGCAGTATTCATTATTTATCCCCTCTTTTCTTAGTTTCCACCCAAGCCTCCATGTCAGTCCTGTTTTATAACAGTGGCATTAGGCAATATTTGTCCTTTTGTGACTGAGATATTTCACTTTTGTAAAATATTTTATGAGTTCTTTGCTTTTTAGTGCTGCACAGCATTCCATTATGTGAATATGCCACAGCTTCTCTATCGATTCACTTGTTAATGGATACTTGGGTTGCTTCCATATCTTTGCTACTATGAACAATGCAGCGATAAAAATGGGAGTGAATATATCTGTTTGGGTGGCAGTTATGACTTCTTTAGGGTTTATTCCCAGGAGTGCCATAACTGGGTCAGATGGTATTTCTATTTCCAACTTTTTGAGAAAGCGCCATACTGTCTTCCAGAGTGATTGCACCATTTTACATTCCCTCCAGCAGTGAACTAAGGGTTCCAATGTCTCCACAACCTCACCAGTATTTGTTGTTTGCTGCTCTGTTGAACTTTGCTATTGTTTCTGGGGTGAGACGATGTCATAGTTGTTCCTTAGAACACATTTTTAAAAAGTATTTCTGAAAGTTAGAAAGCTTTAAAATCGTGCAATTACCGAGCATTTCCAAGTTCCCACCATCCCTTGTATCAATAGACCTACTAATTAGAAAACAGAGCTGCCAAAAGACAGAAAGGAAAAAAAGGCGTTAACTTGGGAATTTTTGTCCATTGACAATTACTTGAGCAGTAGGTCAACAGAAATTACATCTTAGGACTTAAACAGCTGACAGAACAACAGGATGATACTGACCCATATCATAATTACAAGTTAACACTTAAGTTCTAATGTGTTTTTTAGAAAAAGCTACTCTATATAGTAGTGATCCACGAATTGTAATAAATGCCCTTATACTATGATTTCTTATGCCTTTCAATTTATACCTATGTCCATTTTTTTTTTCTGTTGGGTCACACTATAAATTAAAAATTAAGGAAATAGAATAAAGATTGGAACCTGGGGGAAGTGAATTTATGTAACTACAAGAAAGAACTCAGAAAATGATAATGAGAATGGGTATACAACTAACCCAAAGAATCTAATCAATGTCTCTGAATCATACATGAGGTAACTGATTGGTGTATGCTGTGTTGTGAGCAAAATAATAAAATTATATTAAAAGAAAAAAAAACTAGTCTGATGATTTCTTATCAATCTAAGCTAGCAACTGGCTTCAGTATTTCTGTGTCTTTGTATAGGCACACAAAAGAAATTCAGAAAGATGCTCAGTGTACAAATTCTCCACTCTGGGTATTCACAGAAATAAAATCAAACAAGTTAACTGCTTTTCATTGTAATTTTTAGGAAATCCAAGGAAGGGCAAGGCACATGAACTTCTGTAATCTAATCGTTATTACAATTCTCGTAAGTTACAATTAGTTACAATTCTCATAAGTAACTAGAGCAAAATCTGGCCTGCCTCAGTATGACAACCCTTGACTTATTCAAACACTCAAGAACTGGAGTGCAAGCAGTTCAAATCCAACCAGAGGTATCTCAGAAGAAAAGTCTAGAGATGACAGAAAAAAAATTGATGTCTTTGAACTGTGATGCTGAAGAAATATATCGAATATCCCATGGACTGCCAAAAGAACGAATAGATTTTGGAGAGGGTGCTGCTAGAGTGCTCTTTGGGAGGCAAGGATGATAAAGCTTCATCTCGCATACTTTGGGCATGTTGCAAGGAGAAGCTATTCCTTGGAGAAGGACATCATGATTAGAAAGATGGGGAGACAGAAAAGGAGAGGAAGACCCTCAATCAGGCAGACTGACACAGTGACTGCAGCAATGCATGCGCTTGAGTGTGTCAGGAAGTGTGAGGATGGCAGAGTACAGGACACTTATATTGTTCACAGGGTTGCAATGAGTCCTACTCAATGCAATGACACCTAACAATAATAGGAGAGTGCTGTATATGAACAGTGGATTTCAAAACCAAACAGAAGTCAGCTCGAATCACTTTTCTACTCTTTACTAGATATGTTGCTCTTAGGTGGCAGTGATTTGGAACTGACTCATAGCAGATTCTCCAGCAGGTTTTCAGAGGTAGTAAACAACACAGGAGGAGACTTGTCCATCCTTTTTCAAGTGAATCTGAGCTGTGTGCCTTTGGGATTTGCTGCAGAGCTTCGTACCACTAGGTCACCAGAATCCCTTTGATACATAAACTTGAATTTACTAGATATACACACTTGAATTTCTGAAAGTCCTCTCACTGATATACTGTTCTAGCCCTTTCAAGATAATCTTCTGTAAGATTTTACTTGAATGTAATATCAATAATATCAATAAGAGCACATAAAAAGACTTATAAATTTAGCAATAGTTATTTTTTATTCTTATAGGTGTATGGGAATTATGAAGATAAACCCCAGAAACAATAATAAGACAGGTCAGAAATATGGATGGCTATGGTTTCCAGCAGTTTTCATCCTTAGGGTAAACCCACTTCACCGAACTTTCCCCTTTCTCAGTTACATATAGATGGTGGCGGGGGCGTGGGGGGAGATCACCCTTAGTGTAGAAAAGGTCCTAAAGACATATAAACGAATGCATTTCAGTCACCTCATAAAGAATACATTTTCCAATTTAGATAACAACTGGGGTCTAGAAAGTACTAGGATCTTAAATAGTTCATGATAAAACTCTAAAGTAAAAATGTAATAAAAATGGGAAGTGGGTCAATATACATTTGGCATTTGTTATGTGAAAGGCCGATGCTTTAGGTAAATAATTGCATATAAAGTCAACACTTTAGTTGTTGTTGTTATGTGCTGTTGAGTCACACTCATAGCAACTCATAGCAACACTATTTACAAGAGCCCTAAACCCTGCTCTATCCCGTGCCAACCTCACCATCTCCAACACACCTACCCCCATTACCCCAATCACTGAATCGATCCATCTCATTGAGGGTCTTCCCCTCCTGCGCTGTCCCTCTACCCTTTCAAACATGATGTCCCTCTTCAAGGACTAGTCCCTCCTTGCAGCACGCCCAAGGAAGTGATATTATTATCTCTTACCTCCATTTTTGCTTATCTAACAGATGAGCAAACAAGAACTCAGAGTGAGGGCCCCCCTGAAATGAAGCTCCTCAGTTAGAGAGTTACACAGGTAGAACTCAGTGGCATCCACCCAATTCTAAAAACAAAAATCAGTTCTATGTTTAAAACTTAAATTTTTGTGACATTAAAGAGCTTTTTAATCCTCCTCCCGAATTTAGTTCTCTTTACCTTTCTTAATGGTAAAAAAAAATCCCAAAAAACCAACACCAAAACAACAAACAAAAACCAGGTATAAGAAGAGCTAACATCCTTAGATAAATGCTTTCCTTAGTTCCCACATCCCGCCTCTAATATCTCATATGAATAAAAGCAAGAATTCAGGATCAAAGTGCCAGTACTACATATTTTATTTCCTAATTCAGGTATGTATTCAAAACTTGCAATTCCCACAGCAGTTAGGTTCTTACAACTTCTTGTTTTGATGGGGCAGTAGGAGGAAGAAAGGTGGAAGTCAAGTAGGAAGGAGGGAGAATAGTGGAGGGAGGAAAGGAAAGGGCAGAAAAAGGAACAAAGTCTTAAAAATCAATAAGCTCTTGAAAATGGAGTCAATAACCCAGGCTGTACTTTCTTAGTCTGAACTATCATTTACCTGTATACGTCTGGTTTTCTCTCCTGCTTCTCCTACCAACATGATACAACTTAAAAACAAGTGAAACTCCCCTTTACCTCTGGAGGCAGAATACAAAACAAAACATAAAATTCAATTTCCATATATATGAACAATAGTTTATAAGAGCCCTTTTTAAATCCTAAAAACTCCAGACTGATTGTTTTTCTGTTTTCTAACATGAACAGACTTACCATGAATCTTTGAAGCTTCGGGATCATTTACATTAATAGCAATTAACTTCCAATCCGTTTCTCCTTCATCAATAAGAGCCAAAACTCCAAGGATCTTCACATGGATAACATCTCCACGAGAAAAAACCTTTAAAGAGAATAAAAAAAGTCTGTCTTTTCCAGATTTTAAAGGATTAGTATACCATAAAAATCTGTTTAAATGAGTAAAAGAACTATACATTGAAATTTAAGTTTTAATAATGACAAAGAATATAAAAATAGGTAAAAAAATTGTCTTGCAATATCCCCTTATAAAATTAATTGTTTGAAGGCCTCAACTTCCACCCATGATGGAATTATTTGTCCCTATAAAAGAAACTAGAAAGCTGAACAAAATATACATAATTACTCTTTCAGACATTAAACAGTAATGCAAGATAATGAACTCTGAGAGAAGAAAATATATGAGGAGAATGTCTGATTATTATGCCTTTGTACTTGATACACTTTTAACCCAGACAAATGGAACTCAAGAAGACTAAGATAGTTTTCACTACGGGAGCAGTTAAAGAACAGAATTCAAAGACAGTACAGCAAAGTGACGGGAGAGTGGTAGCAATTGTCATTAGTAGTTCTGTATTAGCAAAAATTGCACTCAATTACTTTTTTAATTTTGACATTTAAAAATGCACAGAAGTGTGATTGATTCTCTCTTGTGTTACAAATACCGACAAAATATCTTCTTCCATTTTGGATCTTAGTGGCCTGCTAAATTGCAAACACTTACTATGTGGCCCATGCACATGCTGTTACTTTAGAAGTGCTGAAAAATGTAAAACCATCAAGAACAGCCAATTAATTAGTAACAAAGGACATAAAGCTGAATGAAAAAATACTAAATTAAACCAAGTCTCAAAAGGCTATGAAAACAAAGAAACAAACAAAGGCATATATGGTAAACGTAAATGTAATTATATTTGGTATTAACAATATCTAAATATCTGATATTAAATGTAAATGTGGTCTAAACAAGCCATTATAGAGGCAGAATTAGATCATGATAATAGAGCCATAAGAAGCTCTAGTGGTGAAGTTTGTAGCTGACTGTGCTTTCAAACCAATGGTTGCAGATCTTCGGCAGTTTGCATCCACTAAATGCGAAGTCTTCTCTCGCATGTTACAGCCTCAGAAATCCAACTAAGGGTCACTATGACTCTGAATCAGCTTTATAAAGACTCTAAAACCCTGATTTATACACTGAAAGAGTAACTGTACACTTTAAAATCTTTGTTATGTGAATTAAATATCTCAATTTAAAAAAAAAGAAAATCTCAGGTTAATATTTGTTAAGGACATACAGTTGCAAATAACCCATAACAAAATATAAGAAAATCTAATTCTGTAAAAAAAAATATAAGATTAGCATATGATGAATAATGTTTATTCCAGAACTTCAAAAATTTAATAAATGACACTGAAAAAAGTATTACAATGTTGAAAAGACAAAGCACAAAACATAAAACTCTTGAAAAAGATTTTAAAAGAAACTAGAAACTGAAATATGTTAAAGCAGATATCCTATGTGCTACAAATTATCTAAGAGGCTTGCCAATGCCAGGTTTACATGCATGCATTCTTTATTCTTATTTTCAAAGATTTAGTTGGTTATAGAATATCACTGCAAGCTGAAATCAGAATAAATGTTTTAAATAAAGTTCTACATGATTTGAAATGTAGCTTTTTATGTAGAAAGCAAAGTATGCAAAAGAAAGTAAATTCTGTGTCTTTATTTGGACAAAAAAAGAACCAAACCTCAAAACTATCTTAAACAATAAAGTCAAATAAACTCGATTAGGACATTAGCAAAATGACTCTAATATCTGAACATAAATCTGTAAGAAGTTGTTTTAGTATATAGATTATTGTATACAGCAAAAACCAAACTGAAATGTCACTTTTAGCAAATATATACATTATATTAACCAGATACTCACATGTGTAGGCTCTATTAAGTATTCAGCACTGTAGGAATAAAAACAATCTCAGAGCTCAAAGATTTAGCCTTGCTAGGGAAATATACACACTTCAGCTAGAAGATAAAAGAAGATGGAATACAAAACTAAAAGATGATGTCCAACACTATGTGATTCATAACTGGGCCTTCTTCATTTGCAATGCCACTGCCCTGCTCTAGGCACTGGAAAATGTCACAGCTGGTATTCCAATAAAGGAAGAATATGCTAAGAGAGGCTGGAGGCTGGTAAGTTGGTGATATTAATGATTATGTTGATATTAATGATTGGTCTTGTTTACCATAAAGTTGGAGACAACTCAGCTGACCCTCCAGCAGGATCAGAAGAAAAAAAAAATTGGATGGGAGGAGACTCCCATTCTTCTCCCTCGGAGTAGTTGGTAGATTCAAACTATATGTCTTAGGACTGGCAGTGCAACTATTTACCACTAAGCCACCAGAGTGCCCTATAGTAGGGATAGGTGGTTATTTAGATCTGTATTAAAACTCATTGTCACCAAGTCTGAACCAACTCATAGCTGACCCAGCAGAGGATTTACAGAGTCTGTAAATTGCACAGGAGGATGTCCATCTTTCTCTTGCAGAACAGATAATGGATTTGAACTGTCAACTTTTGGGTTGGCAGTGCAATTCTTTAGCTGTCAAGCCACAACATCTCTTCTAAATAAGAACAATGAAAAAGAAAAAAGAAACAGAGGGAAGAAAATGAAATGCCAAATTTTTCAAAAGGAAATTCTTATGTAAATACCATGTTTACACATGTAACACAGGCCCCAGCTTGCATATGAAAGAAGGGTTGAGTGGTTGGCAAAATTGGTAAAGTGCATGCTTTATTTTTATGGAAATTTACTAAACACCTGGTTAGACAAAGGTTGAAGCACTCAGCAGAGCAAACAAAGGTCAGCCATTAGAGTCACAGAAAAGGATGTAGCATTCTGCCTTCATAAAGACCAGAGCTTTGGAAATGCTATGGGGCATTCAGTTCTTTTCTGTCCCATATGGGTCAGAATTGACTAGATGGATGTGGGTAAGTGGGAATACATATTATGTGATAGGCATTGCATGTTGTCAAATATGCATGTATGTATGTGCATAGAGTGTGTGTGTGTATATACACACACACATATATCTATCTCCATACATATATCTATTATCTATCTAATCAGATTAAATGCCCACAAAACAGTGTTGTTCAGAGTAGGCATTGTCCTCATCTTAAAAAGAGGACACTGAAATTTGGAACAGTGAAATAATTTGCCTAAGATAACAAAGCTAGTAAATGGAAGAATTGAGATTCACTCATAAACTTGGGCCAAATTCTTTGTTTTTCCACTAATAACAATAATAATGAAGCTAAATTTTATTTGTGGCTTGCTATTAATAAGGCACTTCAAAAAGGTGCTTTAACTGTAATTTCTCAATTCCTTTCATTGATGGAAGCAGAATTATTACCTAACATTTAAAAGATGAGAAATATAGAACAAGTGCAAACTTTTTTTAAAAAAGATGCAAAATGTACATAAAATGCATAGGCGTTCTAAGCCTCATAAATTAGGAAAAGATATACTGAACCAGTAAGTATCCATCCAACAGCTCTGTAAAATGTCAAAACTGTTACTCAAAGGACATGTAACTTACTATAAAAAATGTCAATTCTGTTGCAGAATTTGAAAAGAATAAGAATCCCAGAGCACTTGATTGTGCTCATGCCGAAACTATACCTGGACTAGGAGGCTGTTCTGTGAAAAGAGCAGGGGATCACTGCATGGTTTGGAACAGGGGTGGGATTGCAACAGAGTTGTATTCTCTCCATACCTATTCAACCTATGTTGTTGTTGTTGTTAAGTGCCTTCAAGTCATAGGTGACTCATAGCGACCTATATGCTGAGCAAATTATGCAAAAAGCTGTACTCTTAGAGGGAGGAGTGTGACATCAGGATTGGAGGGAGACTCATCAATAACCTGTATTATGTAGATGATATACTCTTGCTTGCTAAAGTGAGAAGTACATGAAGAACTTGTTACAGAAAGTCAAGGAATGCAGCCCTCGATATGGATTGCATCTTAATGTCAGGAAAACAAAGATTCTTACCACTGGACGCATAGGGAGCATCATGATGGATAGAGAGTAGACTGAAACAGTCAACAGATTCACCTTGCTTGGATCCACAATTAACACCCTTGGTACCAATAGTCAGGAAATAAGGGGAGACATTGCACTGTGAAAATCTGCATTTAGGGACCTTTCCAAATTACTGAGGAGTAGTGATGTCAGTTTGAAGACTAAGGTGCATCTGATATCTGAGTACTGGATAGTGAATAAAGATGACAGGAAAAGAACAGAAGCCTTGGAACTGTGGTTTTGGAGAAGAGCACTGAATATCCCATGGACAGCCAAGAGAACAAACACATCTGTCTTGGAGAAAGTGCAGCCAGAGTGTTCTTTGGAGGCAAGAATACATATTTTGCCTCACATACTTTGGGCATGTCACTAGGAGGGGCTTTGTTGCTTGGAGAAGGACAAGATGCTGGGAAGGGTGGAGTGTCAGTGAAGGAGAGGAAGATCCTCAAATAAACAGATTGACATAGTTACTGCAAAGGGCTCTTGTGTGTCAGGAAGTGTGGCGCAGGACAGAACAGGGTCCAGATCTTTTTTCATGGCTATGAGCCATACTTGACTTGGTGGCACCTAACAAGAAGAAGCAATTTTAAAGTTTAGTAAAATGTCAAACACTCTAAGCCTATAGATAAGTCTACGGATAGGTCTCAACACTTAAAGTCTTTGCCCTCTCCGCACTTTTAAGTAGAATCTGCCCTCCACTAACAAACTATTTCCCCCATGGTTTCTAGGATGAACCATGTCCTTTTTCTCTCCACCCCTTCTGACTCCTCTTCTTTGTTGTTGTTATGTGCCTTGAGTTGCTTGAACTCTGCTTATCCTGAGCGAACTGCATTGCCACTGAGTCAATCGATTCCATCCAAGGTCTTCTTCATCTCTCAAGGTATCCTTCCAAGTATGAAGCCTCCACTCTCTAAGCATGATGTCACTCTCCAAGGACTGGTCTCTCCTGGCAACACATCCAAAGTATGTCAGACAGAGCTTCAAAATCCTTGCA